AGCTGACCAGTCCCTGAAGACCTGAGAGATCTGGATGGTTCATCATTTAGCAGTAGATCAGAAATGTATTTTGGGCCTAAACCATTCAAAGCTTTATAAACCAGCAGCAGTATTTTTGAAATATATTCTTTGATACACAGGAAGCCAGTGTAAAGACTTCAGAACAGGAGTGATGTGATCCACTTTCTTAGTGTTAGTGAGGACTCGAGCAGCGGCGTTCTGAATCAGCTGCAGCTTCCTAATAGATTTTTTAGTGATACCTGTGAAGACACCATTGCAGTAGTCCAGTCTACTGAAGATAAAAGCATGGACAAGTTTTTCCAAATCCTGCTGTGACATTAGTCTTTTAATCCTAGATATATTCTTTAGGTGATAGTAGGCTGATTTAGTAACTGTTTTAATGTGACTGTTGAAACTCAGGTCAGAGTCCATGACTACACCTAGATTTCCGTCTTTATTTTTTTGTTTTGAACATTGCAGACTAGGGGTGTAATGGTTCACAGAAGTCACGGTTCGGTTCGTACCTCGGTTTGGGGGTCACGGTTCGGTACGGGTTCGGTACAACAAGAAAAAGCAAAAAAAAGTCCCAAATGCATAATTCCAGGTTTGTTGTTATTTATGTTTGAACAGTAGTACAAGTTTCAGTTTAAAAATAAGGAACTCTGTCATTTAGAATAATTAACTGTATTAAACAGTTAAAAACAAACCACAAACAGTAACACACACACTCAGATGGCCATATTATCTACAATGGCTGATGTCAAACAAAAAGGTTTCATCAAGCTGTAAAACCAAAAAGAATGTCTTGAAAATATTACATCATAAATAATAAGAAAGTGTTTCAAGAGCGCAAAGTCGTTGAAAAACATATGCCAAAAGCTTCCGTTATTTATTTTGGTCTCACAGCTTTCATGTCTATTGGTTTATTAAAAACAGCAGGGATCAGCTGTTGAACTGCTGCTGTCTTTTGCCGGGCTCCGGTGATTGGCAAATCTGGGTGATGCCTTCTGATATGATTTAGCATGTTTGGCGTGTGTTACCATTAGCATACAGCACCGCTGTCTAACAATGCCGACACACCGTCCTCGTTCGATCCACCACTCGCACTCCATCGTTATTGTAGTCCACAGAGAACCCGAAATGTTCCCACACAGCTGATTTAAAAGAAGCAGGTGGGTTCTAGCTCCTGTGTGTTATCTGAAATCGCCATACTAACTTTTCTTCTTCTTGTATTTTGTTCGTTTTGTTGTTGTGTTTCTTCTTGTTCTTCATTTGTTGTTTAAGGGCGGCTGGCAAACAGCTTTTAGGCGCAATACCGCCCCCTGGATTATAAATAGTGTAATGGATACTGCCCTGAATGACTTTTTCCCACTCGTAAAAAAAAGACGTATTCGTCATGTGACTGCATGTGCCGAACCGTGACGTCCGAACCATGACGGTACGGGACGAATACGGATACCGTTACACCCCTATTGCAGACTGAAGCTCAGCGCTAACTTTTATACGTTCTGCCTTGGCTCCAAAAACCATTACCTCAGTTTTATCTTTGTTTAATTGGAGAAAGTTCTGACACATCCAGTCATTGATTTGTTCAATGCACTTACTCAGTGTTTGAATTGGAGCATAGTCTCCTGGTGAAATTGTTACGTAAATGTGTGTGTCATCTGCATAGCTATGGTAACTTATTTTGTTGTTTTTCATTATCTGAGCCAGTGGTAGCATGTAGATGTTAAAGAGAAGAGGCCTCAAGATGGAGCCTTGAGGTACCCCACATGTCATTTTTGTCAACTCAGATGTGTATTTCCTAGGGCTGTCAAGTTAACGCGTTAATAACGCGTTAACGCAAAAAACAATTAACGCCACTAATTATTTTAACGCGATTAACGCATGTGTATTTTTTGTCGGCGGCCGCCCCGTAGTTTCAGAGCGCATCGAGTTTAAAATACCATCTACAAGCTGATGCTGACAGCCCCGCTCCTGCCGTCCGCTTGTGGCAGACCACACTTCCACGCTCACCGGCAGGCACCGACTGGCCATCGGGAGGACCGGGAGGGTGTGTGTATGTGTGGCGCTAGAGAGACCTTACGTGTATTGTTGTTGTTGTTAGCATCTGGTGCTAGCTAGCTGCGCTAACGGATATAAGGAGCTGTTTAAATGAAAACAGAGGAGCGACATTTCGCCGACAACTGCGCCGAGCACTTGACTTTATGCAGGTAGCCAGACAGCGGGACATTGTACGAAAAGTCTGCACACTCAGCACGGATAGTGCGCGCAACATGATTGCAGCGTCCAGGCAGCTCCCGTTCGAGCATACCTTGAGTTGTACATCGCTCCAACGATCCATCTCACACACACACACACACACACACACACACACACACACACACACACACACACACACACACACACACACACACACACACACACACACACACACACACACACTTTGTATTGTATTATTGAATGAGAGAGATTCCAGGTTGAATTGAGGCGAATATTTGTAATGTTCAGAGGTTGTTGTGTTTAATATTCATGAGAATATTTGTCATTGTTCAAATGATAATAACATTTGCATAAAGCATATTTGTCCACTCATATGTTGATAAGAGTATTAAAAACTTGAAAAATATTCCTCTAAGGTACATTTAGAACAGATAAAAAATGTGCGATTAATTTGCGATTAATCGCGATTAACTATGGACAATCATGCGATTAATCGCGATAAATATTTTAATCGACTGACAGCCCTAGTATTTACCTATAGAAACAAAGTTTTGTCTGTCCTTTAAGTAGGATTCAAACCAATTTAGAACTGTTTCTGAAAGTCCCACCCAGTTCTCCAGTCGGTCTAGTAATATGCTGTGGTCAACAGTGTCAAACGCAGCACTGAGATCTAATAATACTAACACTGAAGTTCTGCCACTGTCTGTGTTTAGGTGGATGTCATTGAAGACCTTTACAAGAGCAGTCTCAGTGCTGTGGTTTGGATGAAAGCCTGACTGGAACACATCAAAACAGTTATTTAAATGCAAGAAGTTACTAAACTGTTGAAAAACAACTTTTTCAATGATTTTACCTAGAAATGGGAGGTTTGATATTGGCCTGTAGTTGTTCATCACTGAAGCATCTAGATTATTCTTTTTTAAGAGCGGTTTAATGACTGCAGTTTTCAGGGCCTGTGGAAAATACCTGAGTGAAGAGATTTGTTTACTATATGAAGTAGATCTGAGGCCATGCAACAAAAAACATCTTTGAACAATCCTGTTGGAATAATGTCAAGGCAGCAGGAGGAGGATTTCAGAAGTTGAATAATGTCCTCTAGGTTTTTATCATTAATCTGATGGAATTGTGTCATGATGTCTGAATTGATATTAGGTGGACATAGGGACAACACATTTGCTGTACCTGATACAGAGGCACTGACTGCTTGTCTGATTTTCTGAATGTTGTCAGTGAAGAAGGAGGCAGAGTCATTGCAGGCCCTGGTATGGTTAAAGACATTACAAGGATCAAAAAGAATGTGCTTATCACAAACTATGTCTATTTTTCCATCAACCTGACAAGTAACAAACTGTTGACTCTGAACAAACTGTTGTCAGTAGTAGTACTCATACTGTTTCAATCACATTAGTATGCATAAAAAGTGACCGGTGGACACGCCCCCAATTATGCAAATGAGCTAAGTCCCGCCTCCCATTGTTCGCGATCCTTTGATGTGAGGGTGAGGGGTCATCACCCCCTAGGGGTGAAATGCCCCCCTGTGTAGCGCCTTTGTTCGAGATCCTTTTTGATGTGTGTTATGTGAAAAGCCCCCGGGCTAGCGCCTTTGTTGTCTAATTCTTTGATGTGTTGATTAAGTCTCTTTGAAGCTTTATTGTAGGCCCCCCTCAGAGCCCTTTTGTTGTCTAATCTAATTATGAAGTCTAATCTAATTATGATGTCTAATCTAATTAGCCTTTGGTGTTTGCCCTTTGATGTGAAGTGTTATAACAGGCCGGTGTGACTTCACACTGGTGTGCTATAAACCTTTGATGTTAATCTAGGTGTCTCTTTGAAGTTATGTGTGAGACTGTCTACCCAGCCCCCCTCCCAGCCTCTCCCCCTTTTCTACCCCTTCCGGGGCTATGACGCAACAAATAGTGGGGGGTGGAATTAGGTAGAAATACGCTCAAACGAAATAACAAGACAGCAATTCCATTTACCCCGTCACCTTTTCAAAAAAGAAAAATGGCAAGAGACGCCTCGAATGGGGGTTAATCAGCCTGTGACAATTTACAGCCATCCGTCCGTAGCGTCAGTCAAGAAACGAATGCAGCAGCAGTGCGGGGGTCAGACGCCTACAGTCTGTGCACAAATGTATCTTGTGCCCTCTTTTGGTCATGCGCGCGTTCATGTGTGTTGGAGGAGGGGCTCTGTGAGGAAGTGGCAGATTTTCCCCGGTTTGACTGCAAAAGACTCCCACTTTTCTCCAAATGATCTAACCCTTACCTTTAAGAACAATTCACACACACACACACACACACACACACACACACACACACACACACACACACACACACACACACACACACACACACACACACACACACACACACACACACACACACACACACACACACACACACACACACACGTTGGAGCTCCCCTTTGATGTGGGGGGTTGAGATAAGCCTGGGGTGTAAATGCCTATGTTAATTAAGACACTCTCTGTGAGATGAGAAGAGAGGGATGAAGTTAGTTTAAAAAAATAAATTAAAAAAATAAGCTCAAATTAAATAAAAACAGCCATTAATTTTCACTCACCAAGACATCTAAAAACGTTATTGTCCTCTCTAGATTTGATTCCGGGGATTGTTTTAAATGATGTGTGCTGGCTAAGGATGTTTCTTTTCAAGTTTTTGTGAAACTGTTAACTACAAGAAGTATCTGTTTGCAAAGAGGTTATTTTCAAAAGATCTTATTTAGGTTTTAATAGTGATACCTAAGGATATTCTCTTTTAGTATATGGATTTGTGAACTAATGTGTAATTACTTTTATTAACTATAAGAAAAGTCTCTCTGAAGACGGAAATAATAAAACAATTTAAAAACATGATATTGTCTTTTTTAATCATTATTTTACACCACTGTAAGGAAACCCAATATGAGGCGGTAATATTATAATTCTGCTGTATCCATAAAAGAGAAGTTTTCTTAAAAATGTGTTTCCTATTCCATTTCACTTCATGACGGCTCCAGGGTGCTGATCAGAAACAAAAGAAAAAGCTGTAAGAAGACGCGTAGCTAATTACCTGGATAAAAGGACTCATCGATTGGTCAGTTGTTTTTTTTGAGGGGGTGACAAGGCTCTGTTATTTGGTGTTTTATACGACAAGATCTCTACAGTTTGAAAAAACTAGAGGATGAATTATCCTACCATTCCAGCTCTGCGCTTTATTGACCTGGACGCCATCACAAAATAATGTGGTAAGTACTTATCTTATAATATCATGTAATTATTAAATGTTGTTTATATATATATATATATATATATATATATATATATATAGTATATTATTAGATACTTAAAAAATATTATGTTTTTCTGTTTGCAGTAGAGATCCTGTGTGCTGAAAACCCTAATGTGTGGGGTCATAGGATTATTGAAATACTAGGTGAATTTCTTTTTTACTTCTTTTTAACATGTTTTTAATTAGAAAAGTATAGAGTAATATCGTGTAGATTATAATCAAATCTTTCTGTGTGTCTCAGCTCAGGATACTCTGAGTCAGATAAGGCCGTTAGTATTGGAAATAATCTGCTTTGTACTTGGAGCCTACCTTAATTCACCCCCTGTGGAAAGTGAGTATATTTAAACTAATTGTATTTTATTTTGAAATCAAATATGTTTTTTATGTGCAAAGTACCCCCGAATAACGTTTTTTTTACTCTTTTGTTAAAAAAGGTGGCGAAGTCTACTACACTAGGCTCTGTGTATCAAAATGTTCCCCCTGTGGAGTTCACATACAATCTACCCTTTGGGGTAACTGCAGACCCCTTGGGGACAGCCGTCGCCCTCCCCCGGGACACAGATAACCAGGCATACACCCCCCTTTTCAATGCCCCCCTGCAACCGCTCGGGTCTGAAACCTTCCTGCAAATTCCACCAGAACTGCAGGCCGATTTTGACACTTACAGTGCCTATCTGGATTACTTTGAGTTACAACCAGACATGCTCATATCGAGTCAGACAGACTCAGCCCCTAGTCCTCAGGTCGAGGGTGAACCATCAGCACAGACTCTTCGTGAGATTCAGGCCGATATATCACTCCTCACAGATCCCCTCCTGACGAGATATCACCCCGGTAAATGAGTTTTATGGTTATTTTACAGGATGTTTAATAAATGAATAGTGTTAAATGTATAATCGTGTGTTTTTCAAATACTTATCCTTCTTTTTCTCTGTCTTTTTTTTCTGTATAGATCAGTCAAGCTATTATCAGGAGGACTCCCACTGCTGCTGCTACTGCCAACTTTATGGACACACCCACTGAATAAGCTGGAGGGTCTCATGTAAATTGATGCCGATGTAACCGACCGGTATGTTTCTTCAGCTGTGACAAATGTATTTCTGATTTTGGTTTCATAAACGGTCAAACATGGATGATTTAGCAGATAGAGAATTTTCTTTTCTTCAGTCTATAAACGACATAAATGAACTAAGCAGTGATGAGGAATTCGTGTATGGAGAGATATGTCATTTCCTCAGTGTTCGGGCAATATCAGTGAGTTAAACGACGAAGAACCTCCCATCTCATCACAAACAAACTCAAGCCATCCCACAACCTTAGATAGCGCTTTGGAATGGGTATTAGCATACTATCAAAACTCTGACACTTACCCCGGTCTCGGGCTTTTAAATCAGCTCGCCGACGGAGTATGCCATCTGAATGGACTAAATAGCATAGCTTCAACCATTGCGGAATCACCAGTTTCCATCGTGCAGAATGGTGGACACGTTAGTGACTCAGAATCACCAGTTTGCTCAATGCAAAGTGGTGGACATGTTGATCAGAATGACGCCCCAAATGTTTCAGAATCACCACCCCCCTCGTTCCAACATGGAGGGGGGGCTAACCGAAATGCCACACCAAGTGTTTTGTCTCTACCTGTATTCAATAACACAGAACTGCGTCAGTCTCTAGTCCTACCCCCTCCTAATAATGACGAAGCAGACTTTACATCCTATTATGGGGTTCTGATGAACAATGTACAGGATATGGTAAATTATGCTTTTTCACGGGCAGATAGGGAAGATATTGTTCAGGTTGAGCTCCGGGGCGAGCAGCTACAGGCTAATGTGTCCGCCATTTTGAATGCTAATGATGATAATCTAGCTGATTTTGAGGAGGCCCTGTTCAATGCTGTACAGTCAAATTTGGAGGTAATGGCAGACAGTAACCTTGAGTTAGTAGTGCAAATTGTACAATCCCCCCGTGGCAGTACCCGTGGTGGCGCTAAACGATTGGCTGGTAAAATGTTGGACAATGAGATAGTTAAAAAGAAGACGCGTTTTCTGTACAGTACGTGGTACAGAATCCGTCCAACCAGCTGTGTTTTGCTATTAATTTAGCACTGTTGTTGCATGACAACCTCACTGATAAAGAAGGTTTTGAATGTGGTAAAGATATTCAGAGGATGGTGGGTTTGACAGATCAGACAGCTGTGACATTCAATGACATTGTTAAATTCGAAGAGAGTTTAAAATGCACGATTGTGGTATTTTACAGAGGCGATAAAGATCGTACTCACTGTAAATTCCAGACAGAGGGTCCCAAACGAGACAAAACTGTGTTTTTGTTTCTCTTCAAAAACCACTACTATGGGATTAAAAACTTGAAGGGGTTTTTAGGCCCGCCATATGTCTGTGAACATTGTTACACAGGCTACAGCTCTCAATGGAGTCATTCCTGTACAGGTCATTGTTATGTCTGTCTTGACCCCTCATGTACTCTGGACGAGTTTAAACCCATCTTTTGTAAAGACTGTAACAAAACGTGTCGTACGGCTGGCTGTCACTCTCGACATAAAAAACAGACACAAAGATCATCAGACATTGCCAGTAACCACGATTTACACAAAAAGTGTGTAGATTGTCAACTTTCCTACTACACTCCCAAGAGTAGTGCAGATAAAACACACAAGTGTGCGGTGAAAAAATGTAAGACATGCAAGGAAAAATTACCCTCTGCTTCTACAGCCGATGGTGAAAAACATCTGTGTTACATCAGAGTGTTGCCCAAAGAGACAGAACACAATGACAACATTGTGTTTTATGATTTTGAAACCATGGCTGGGGCAGATGGTGTACATGCCCCCTTCCTGGTGTCCATAAAAACCCTTGCGGGTGAAATTTGGGTCTCGGAGGGCACCGACTGTGCACTGCAGTTTCTGACACACTTTAGGCGTCCAAAGTTAAAAAATGCAACCTTCATCGCTCACAATGCTAAGGGTTTTGACAGCTATCTAATTATCAATGCAATGTTAGAACAAGGATTAAAACCCTCTTTGATAATGCAGGGAAGTAAAGTGATTTATTTTACTGACCAGGATTTCGGACAAAAGTACATAGACTCACTGTCTTATCTCTCTATGCGTTTAGCAGCAATGCCAAAAGCTTTGGGATTTGAAGATAAAATCAAGGGATACTTCCCACACAGTTTCAGCTCTAAGGCTAATCTGAGTTATATCGGACCTTACCCCCCAGCACACTGTTATGGTATTGAACGCATGACAACTGATGAAAAAAGTGACTTTTTCACCTGGTATGAGACGGTACGCACGGGTACTTTTAATTTTCAAAAGCAGGCACGGCTTTACTGTAAAAAATGTGGACATTCTTGCCCAGGGAGCCACTTTATTTCGGAAAGGGTTTCTCGCAGAGACAGGAGTTGATCCTTTTAGTCGTGCGACCATAGCTTCTGCGTGTATGAAAGTTTTTACCACCAACTTTCTACCACCCAAAACCCTAGCAATACCACCACCCGACGACTACCGCTATGAAAACAAGACGTACTCGGACGCAGGTGTTCAATGGCTAGAGTGGATAGCCCAAACAGAAGGTGTATTTATTCAACATGCGTTGAACGAAGGAGAAAAACGAGTGGGACGTTTTGTCGTGGATGGTTTTGCCGAAGTAGCCGGGGGCAAGATTGTCTGGGAATTTCTTGGTTGCTTCTATCACGGGTGTCCATCTTGCTACAAGGGCCATGAGAAAAACCCCTTGACAGGTGGCACATTTGAGCAGCTCCATGCTGCTAGTGAGGAAAAGCTGCATGAGCTACAGTCTGTTCACGGGGCCAAAGTGATCGTTATGCGTGAGCATACATGGGTTGAGATGAAAAAATCCAACCAAGATTTACAGGCTTTCCTCAGGGAATACAAAGCGCCAGAACCATTGACCCCCCGCGATGCTCTATACGGAGGGAGGACATGTGCAGTAAAGCTGAGGCACACGACAGCGGCAGATGAATTGGTTCATTATTGTGATTTCACTTCACTCTACCCTTTTGTAAACTGTACAGGCCTATATCCCCTTGGACACCCCCAGCTCATATTCCGAGATTTCAAAGACCCTCGCAGTTATTTTGGGTTAATCAGAGCCACAGTAGACCCTCCCAGGGGTCTTTACTTTCCTGTCCTGCCCTACCGAACTGCGGGGGGTAAGCTAGTGTTCACCCTATGCCGTACATGCGCTGAGCTTAACAACCAACAGGGGCCCTGCATGCACAGCAAAGAGGAAAGAGCATTAACAGGAGTTTGGGTGACCACAGAATTCACCAAAGCCCTGGACATGGGATACAAGATGACTCAGATCACAGAGGTGTGGCATTTTGAGAAGAAAGTGACAGCATTTTTGTAGACTATATACACACATTTTTGAAGGGCAAACAAGAAGCATCAGGTTACCCTTCAGAGGCCACAGATGATGAGAGCAGACAAAAGTATGTGGCAGACTATCATGCTAAGCAGGGTATCTTGCTGGATGCAGATAAAATCAAATCAAATCCAGCCAAAAGACAAGTGGCAAAACTATGTCTCAACAGTTTCTGGGGTAAATTTGCCCAGAGAAACAACCTGACTCAGACTAAGATTGTGACCAAAACAGAAGAATTTCTTAACCTCTTGTTTTCAGCTAAACATAAGGTTAAGTATTTCTCATTCCTCAACGACAGAACGGCTCTTGTTCAGTGGTGCTACGGTGAAAAATGCTATTCTCCTCCCAACAAGGTAGATAACATATTCATTGCAGCATTTACCACTGCGTATGCCAGGCTGAAACTGTACAGTGAATTGGAGAAATTACAGCACAGAGTCTTCTACTACGACACAGACAGTTTCATCTATGTGACGAGACCGGGTGAGACTCCACTGCCCATGGGGGTTTATCTGGGGGATCTGACAGACGAACTGGGGGGCGACACAATTGCAGAGTTTGTTTCAGCAGGCCCTAAAAGTTATGCCTATCAGACCAGAAATCAAAAAAAGGTTGTGATGCGTGTGAAAGGCATTACACAAACGCACGAATGTTGTGAACGAGTGAACTTTGACAGTCTGACAGATCTGGTGGAAGGCTACGTTCAAAACTCTGAGAGGGGGAGGTGTCTTCAGGCCCAGCAACACAACATTGTACGGAATAAAGAGGGTTCTCTTTCGTCCCTACTGACCGCCAGAGGCAGTGCTTTCAGCACTGGATATGTCCATCGCGCGCATGCGCAGCTCGAGTACCAATACCAACAAACTCACCTGTGACCCACGTGACACCGGCTATATCAGCCGGTGTTGTCAGAGGATCTGTTCCTTTCATCTTCTCGCTGCGCGAGGGTACCGCGGCTACATTTTTGTAGCCTACAGCGTTCAGGTTTGAACGTTTGATCTGAGGGATTTCTCTGCAAGCAGCTGGCCGTGTGCAGCTTCGTGACTGACAGTCAGAGCTACGGGTCGTTAACGCGTCCTCCAGGAGCTGTGGCCGGCTGTGCAGAGCCTCGACAGACAGGTTGGTGTCAGCTTGTTGCTGGTGATGGCTGTGTCTCCGCACCCTCTCCCAGCCAAGTTGTCCTGATTGCTGTCTTATTTTTTGTTTGGCTTAGACTTTCTGGTGACGACAGTGTTCTACTTACTGTAACTACGGTTCCAAGCCGTGCAAGTACTGGCCATTGTCAATACCGTAAACGGCTCTATGCTGTGTAAGTACTGGCCATAGATACTACTGTAACTACGGTTCCAAGCCGTGTAAGTACTGGCCATAGTCAATACCGTAACTACGGCTCTATGCTGTGTAAGTACTGGCCATAGTTACTACTGTAACTACGGTTTTAAGCCGTAAGTCCTAGCCATAGTTACTACGGTAACTACGGTTCCAAGCCATGTAAGTACTGGCCATAGTTACTACTGTAACTACGGTTCCAAGCCGTGCAAGTACTGGCCAGAGTTACTACTGTAACTACGGCTCTATGCTGTGTAAGTTCTGGCCATAGTTACCACTGTAACTACGGTTCTAAACCGTGTAAGTACTGGCCATAGTTACTACTGTAACTACGGTTATATGCCGTGTGAGCACTGGCCATGGTTACTGCTGTAACTACAGCTCTGTGCTGTTCTCTTCTTTCGAAGCTAGTTATCTGGTCTTAAACATGTGTGTTATTTGAATTGATATCACTTGATCGTTAGCAGCAGCTGCTCGGCTAACGTCTTGCGTGTACTGTTAAGCTTCTTTATTTTACCCAGCTAGGTGAAGGCAGTGCTCTCGCTCCAACTCCCTCTACCGGTAATGCGGATGTAGCTACATCCCCTTTTTCTGTTCAGTGAGTAGTAGCACCGCTCTACTCTTCCCGTTCAGCAGGTAGCTGGTGAAGGCTGTGTTCCCGAAACCGCTCCCGGTTACGCTGCATCTGGCATTCGTCTCTAACTCAACCAGTGAAGGCAGTGTTCTCGCCCCCGCTCCAGGTAGACGCTGAACTGCCTCGCCTTTCCGTTAAGCAGGTAGTCGGTGAAGTCTGTGTTCCCGCTCCCGGTTACGCTGCATCTGGCATTCGTCTCTAACTCAACCAGTGAAGGCAGTGTTCTCGCCCCCACTCCTGGTAGAGCTCCTGGTAGACGCTGAACTGCCTCGTTTTTCCGTTAAGCAGGTAGCTGGTGAAGGCTGTGTTCCCGCACCCGCTCCCGGTTACGCTGCATCTGGCATTCGTCTCTAACTCAACCAGTGAAGGCAGTTCTCGCCCCCGCTCCTGGTAGACGCCAAACTGCCTCATTTTTCCGTTAAGCAGGTAGTCGGTGAAGGCTGTGTTCCCGCACCCGCTCCCAGTTACGCTGTGTCTGGCAGTCGTCTCTAACTCAACCAGTGAAGGCAGTTCTCGCCCCCGCTCCTGGTAGACGCCAAACTGCCTCATTTTTCCGTTAAGCAGGTAGTCGGTGAAGGCTGTGTTCCCGCACCCGCTCCCGGTTACGCTGCGTCTGGCAGTCGTCTCTAACTCAACCAGTGAAGGCAGTTCTCGCCCCCGCTCCTGGTAGACGCCAAACTGCCTCGTTTTTCCGTTAAGCAGGTAGCCGGTGAAGGCTGTGTTCCCGCACCCGCTCCCGGTTACGCTGCATCTGGCATTCGTCTCTTACTCAACCAGTGAAGGCAGTGTTCTCGCCCCCGCTGCTGGCAGACGCAGAACTGCCTTGTTTCTCCGTTAAGCAGGTAGCTGGTGAAGGCTGTGTTCCTGCACCCGCTCCCGGTTACGCTGCATCTGGCATTCGTCTCTAACTCAGCCAGTGAAGGCAGTGTTCTCGCCCCCACTCCTGGTAGGCGCTGAACTGCCTTGTCTTTCCGTTAAACAGGTAGCTGGTGAAGGCTGTGTTCCCGCACCCGCTCCCGGTTACGCTGCATCTGGCATTCGTCTCTAACTCAACCAGTGAAGGTAGTGTTCTCGCCCCCGCTCCTGGTAGACGCGGAACTGCCCTGTTTTTCAGTTAAGCAGGTAGCTGGTGAAGGTTGTGTTCCCGCACCCGCTCCCGGTTATGCTGCATCTGGCATTCGTCTCTAACTCAGCCGGCAGTGTTCTCGCCCCCGCTCCTGGTAGATGCTGAACTGCCGTGTTTATTAATCCAGCCAGGTGAAGGCAGTGCTCTCGCTCCCGCTCCCTCTGCCGATAAACGTGGGTGTAATTACATCCCTCTTTCTGTTCGGCGAGTAGCAGCAACGCTCTACTCTTTCCATTAAGCAGGTAGCTGGTGAAGGCTGTGTTCCCGCACCCGCTCCCGGCTACTGCTGCATCTGGCTACCTACGGAGTGGCTCATTCATGTTGCGCCTGTATGGCTTCTTTTGAGCCATTGAGAAATGTGAGCATCTGAGGGAGGTTCTCACGGTAAACGCCTGCATGAGCTGTAGCTGCATGCCTCGGGCGCTCAGAGTGGCTAGAATCACTGAGGTGGAACGTCTGGCAGCAGCCAACAGACACCTCTCCTTGTCACATCCTCTTCCAGATCAATTCGGCCGTTCCCGGCGACTTGAGGGAGCGATGGCTATGTGTGCTCCCCCCAATAGAAGGACTAGAAAAGCTGTCCTCTGAAGTGGATCGGCTAGCTGCCGATAGGGGCATGATGAAGTCGCCTCTTGGTCCTTCAGCCTGGGCCAGGTGTAGGGGCCTTCGGTTGACGCCCCTCCTTCGGTTGGCGCACCTCCTTCGGCTGGCGCATCTCCTTCGGTTGGCGCACCTCCTTCGGCTGGCGCACCTCCTTCGGTTGGCGCACCTCCTTCGGCTGACGCACCTCCTTCGGTTGATGCACCTCTGTATGAGGAGGCCTTGTCGCTGGTACAGACTCGTCGCCAGGTTTCGCTGGCCCAGTCACCACTAACGGAGGCATGTAGGAGAGTCCTCCGTAGCGTACCAGTCGAGCCAGGGGAGCTGTTTACGGCAGCTGCCCTGGAGGCACTGGAGCGTGCCGCCCAAGCTAGGCAGACCAGGCAGCAGCTCTCGGGTCTTCGCAGACCTGTGCCCACTCCCAGCAGGCCCATGGGCCGCTCTAGCAGCCGCACTCAGCCGCCGGATTACAGGGGTGGTCTGCAGAGGTCTTAGCGGCGCGACCCAATGACTTTCGTGCCCCAAGTCGCCCGCCTTCCAGACGGCCTCGTGCCCCAGTGCCCCCCCGGTCGTCGGCTGCTTTCCCAGCAGCAGCTCAGTTACTGGGCGGTCTGTACTTCCGTCCCTTGGGTGGTTTTCACCTTAACCCAGGGGTACGGACCGCAGCTCCGGCCCCTTCGGCTGGGTCTAATTGACAGTCGTCAGCGATCCGGCAGGGGCCCTAGCTCTGGCCCAAGAGTTGTCCGTCCTTCTGTCCAAGGACGCAATCAAGCCAGTAAGACCCTCTGCTTAGCCCAGGGGGTTCTACTTGGCGTACTTTCTCGTGAGCAAGAAAGTCGGCGGATTTCGCCCGATCTTGGACCTCAGAGGAATCAACAGATTCCCGAAGGTGCTGCCATTCTATATGCTGACCACTGCATATGCACAGGTGGAGTGGTTCTCAACCGTGGACTTGAGGGATGCCTACTTCCACGTGGGCCGGGCAAGATGGTGCCTTATATTCAGTTCCTCCGGCCCTTGGGCAGACTGGCTGCTGCCTCGGCCGCTGGGCCCTTAGGCCCGCTGTCGTTGCGCCCCATGCAGATGCGGCTGAACAGCCTTCACTTGGACGCCAAGTGGCACAGGCACAGGGAAGTCAGGGTGTCGCAGCATTGCCTCCACTCTCTGTCACGCTGGAGGGGCAGGGCCTATCTCCTAGTGAGCGTGCCCATGGGCGCCATCCCATCCCGCCAGGAGACCATCACCATAGGTGCATGTCTCTCAGGGTGGGGTGCAGTGCGGCAGGGCAGGACCGTTCAGGGTCAGCGGTCTGCCCAGGAGAGTGCGCGCCAGGTCAACGTGCTAGAGCTTCGGGCTGTGCAGCTTGCACTCACGCACTTCCTACCCCAACTGGGGGGCAAGAATGTGTGTGTTCCTTGGGGACAGCATGTACGTTGTTGCTTAGACAACAGTCCCTTCTAGATGGTGGACGTTCTCACTCCACTCTGAATGTATGTGGCTGCGATTTCTGCCCGACATGTTCGGGTCGACGGCGCCACGGCGGGGTGCCACGGCGGGGTGCCACAGGTCGGTGTCCCTCTTTATGAGAGGGGCTTTATGGCAGCGTCCCCCTAGCACCCCGAGGGCTCCGGCTTGGGACCTGCCCCTGCTGCAGGATGCCCTATCATCTCCTCCCTTCGAGACCCTGGCCCAGGTGGGGCTTAGGTGGCTGCCCACGAAGGCAGCATTTCTGCTTGCCATAGCCTCAGGGAAGCGAGTCGGGGAGTTGCATGTCCTCTCCATAAACAATACATGCCCGAGGTGGGACTCTCAGGCGTTGCTCTTTGGGCAAATGTGGCATTCCGGCCCGGGGTCCTTCCACAAACCCACTTCAATCAGCCTGCCCAGCTGGCACGCTTTGACATTCAGGAGTACGGCACGTCGAAGTTGCTGTGCCCTGGGGGTGCCCAAAGGGCGTATATCAAGGCTACTGCCTGCATACGGTAGTAGGATCAACTCTTGATTTTGCCCTTGCGGCACTAAAGGAGGTTATGCCCTCTAACTAGTGGCTGCCCCACTGGGTTGTCGATACCAT